GATATGGAATGTATCTTTTAGTCTTTACGTGAATAAACCGAGCGCTTGGCTTGAAGCGAGCCGCAACCAACAACAACAACAACAACAAATTTTATTGAAAATTGGAAAATAACTAATTACATTACTTTCCCACCCGCAAATAGCTTATGAACTAATCGAGGCGGGGGGAGCTGAAGACATATTACAAAACAAGAATTATATATAGATGGACTAAATAACAGTGAAGACACTACAATACAGTAAATAGAGTTTAAACTAACATAAAACAAAAAACAAAAAACAAGGCATGTACATAACGATTACGAAGAGAGGTTAACTAAAGTATTAAATAACTTAATAAGACGGGAGACTTCGACATAATCATCTTCTGACCGCAAAAATTTAGTAATAATTCCTTTTTTTTTTACGAAAGGACGAACGTTTAAGTATTTTAATCGAATACGGAATAGAGTTCCAAATTTGGGCACCGATTCTCGTGAAAAAGGCATACATTTTATCGGTTCTAGAGAACTTAACATAAAACGAGTCGCTAGAGACAGATCTTGTTCTGTAGTTATGAATCTGACTTGTTTTAACGAACTGATTGAGAATACTAACTGGTGCTGTCTGTCTGTTGATATCATACAATAAATAGCTACAATCTCTGAAAAATATGCTAGGCAGGGGAAGGCAATTTGATTTGAGAAAGAAGGGTACGGCGTGTTCCTTAGACTTACTGAAGTAAATGAGACGTAAGGCCCGTTTTTTGTAGAGTTACGATCTTTCGTTGAAATGTCAAGGCACAATTTCCCCAACCACAAATACCATAAGTCAAGTAAGGGACAATTAATGAGTTGTAAACTGAAAGTAAAACACGACGCGGGACATAATGTCGAATTTTAGCTATAATTCCTATCGACTTGCTGATTTTGTGACAGACAGATTCGATATGGTATTTCCATGAAAGATTTGAATCAATCATTAAGCCAAGGTATTTTACATAATCTTTCATTTCAAGGTTTGCGTAGGTGTTAGTCACGGAGTCAAAATTCTAATCCTAGGTATGAAGGGCATATTCTTTTGCCGGGGACGAAAGATTACAAAATTTGATTTTTTTTATGTTCAAGGACAGTTTGTTGGCCTTTAGCCATTCGTTGACGTTGCCAAGCTCGCGATTAACAAGTGTTTCGAGTTTCTTTTAGGTTGTTATTTGCAAGTATTATACTAGTATCGTCAGCAAATAGATAAAAAGGCAAATAACGAAGAGGACTTGTAAATATCATTGATGTACAGTAGGAATAAGAGTGGTCCGAGGACTGAGCCTTGTGGCACGCCGCACAAGGTCGTTTCAGCCTCAGACACAACATTATTAACTTCCGTAGTTTGCTTCCGATCAGTCAGGTATGATCTGAACCAGGAGTTTATTACACCTCTAATACCATAATTTTCAAGTTTAGCTAACAAAATTTCATGGTTAACAGTATCAAAAGCCTTTTGAGATCGATGAAAACACCGCACGAAAATTTACCCTTGTCCATGTTTTGGAGAATTGTGTTAACAATATCAAGTACAGCATGGTGAGTACTGTGCTTACTGCGAAAACCGTATTGCTGATCATAGAGAATGTTGCAATCTTTGACAAACTTGGTAACTCTGGAGTACATAAGTTTTTCAAAAATCCTGTTATAAATCGAGAGCAGAGAAATAGGTCGGTAGTTTTCGGGCAGCGTGTCATCTTCGTCCTTAAATATCGGGATAATCTTAGCACACTTTAGTTTAGATGGAAAATCCCCTGAGCAAATAGACTGATTAAAAATCGTAGCTAGAGGTACGGATATGACCCTTTTGCTAATTTCAGCAGCCTAACTGGAGATGAGTAGAGACCATGGGCCTTGTTGTCTTGCAAAACTGAAATTTCTAAATTGATATCTTCCGGAATAATAGGATCAAAGAAGAAAGTGCGATTAAGTGGCGGATCTAAATAATCATAGAATGTATTTATGGTCTGAGGAATTTTAGAAGCCAGTTTGCTCCCAAAAGTGGCGAAATATTTGTTAAGAATATTGCTTATTTCCTTCGGGTCACTAGTTGGAACCTCATTCGGGTTTGAGCGAATAGAGTTAGTTGAGTTGCGCTTGTTTTTCTTTTTACAGTTTCAATTAGCTCGTTAATTCCTTTCCAAGTTTGACGCATATTACATATGTTGAGATCAAAGAAACTTTGGTAGTAGTTCGCTTTACTTAATCTCGTAAGATAAATGATTTTATTTCTGTAAAATTTGTATTTGTCACGGTCTGAGGTATAGAAGAGGTTATTCTTTACCCTGATTGATTTTCTTAAACCCGCCGTCAGCCATGGTTTAGCAAGGAATTTTTGTTTACGATTGGATATACTTCTTAAAGGAGCGTGTTTGTTAATTGTCTTGTTGACGCATTTGTAAAACCTGGAAAACGATTGATTGGCATCGATATGTTTGCAAATATTATTCCAATTAATATTCTGCAAGTCGTCAATGAAAGACTTTGCATTGAAGGTAGAATAGTCACGAACCTTAGTTTTGTTGTTTGGAAAGAATGGTTTACAGTGCGACGATAATATGCACATCTGAGAGAAGTGATCTGTTGTATCGGACACGATATTGCCGCTGACTATATTATTCTCAGGATTATTTATGAAAATATTGTCAATTAAAGTTGCTGAATTACCATAGACTCTAGTCGGCTTATCAACCACTGGGAACATTGAAAAACTTTGCATTGTTTGGAGCAAGGTTTGTGTGTTTTCTTGTTGGGACAAACTGAGATTTAGAGGAGAGCGTAGTTTTCCAACTTTGAAACCTAAATAGCAATAGACCTATTCGGCTAACTCAATGTTTTACTCAATTTAAACCCTTTTGGAATAAACCGTTTTGTTTCAGGAATTTCCATATCATTTAAACGTAAATGCCACATTATGATGCAAATACAATACACAAAGAATCTTAACCCCGGGAGATTTGTTTTAGGTACAACATTGAGTTAGCCGAATAGGTCTATGGTAGTTACTTGCTCTTCATAGTTAAGTACAATAGCGCAGAAAAAAATGCATAGTGTTTGGACATTTGCTTAGCCAGCAAGTTGTTTTAGACAATGCTGAAAAGCGTGCGGTCATTCTTTTTTCAAATTGTAGCTTATGGGCTCGTAGCTGATTCTGAAAATAGATTTTATTTTATTAGATTCGCGAATCATTGGCAGGGTCACCTCAACAGCATGGCGCCAATTACTGTGGAGTGTGTGGGTTCTTTAACGTCCACAGAATTTATATATGCAAGGGTAGTGAGACGGGTCCTTTGGTTTATCGTCCTTATGCGAGAAGACTAGAAAGTCTAACCATTTGCAGATGTCATTACAAAGGCAGCACTTTCTCCTCAGTTATTTAAAGACCCTTAGTGTTGGTCCGGCCGGGACTTGAACCAGCGGCCTCCCGCTTGGCAGACGGGCGCATATCCAACTGAGCTAACCGGGCGGCGGTTAAATTTTAGATATCCTTGTGTAACCCTTGACTTTTTAGCCAGCTCTCCACATAGCCTGTGAACAGGCTCTCTGTTCGGGGAAAGGGTGAAAAAATCGCCAGGAGAGGGAAGGGAAAGGGTGAGAGCCTGTAGACAAACATTTGGGACCGTCGTTCCACGGCACCCGCTGTACAACAGATCCTGATGCAAGCTCCTATTGGCGAGAACACTGACTGTTCACATGTTTGATTTACATCGCTTTTTTTGTCGGCAAGTAGCACGCGATTTGGTTTAAATAATCTGATCTTTAACATGGCGTCTTCTGGCGCTTGACTGATGAGCTCTTTTAGCCGCAATGAATGTTTTTGCATTAGAGGAATAATCAAGCCGACGAGAAACTGAATAACCGCGGAAAATCAATATGCGTGTCGCGACCTCTTAGTATGAATTAAGCGGCAAAAATCACATTTTCTCATTAAAACTAAACCTTCCAGAGCATAATCTACCCGCCAGAGAAAAAGGTAATAGTTGTGTGCTGCCTACCGACTTTTTACCCAAAAAATTGATTACATTCCAATGTATCCAACTGACAGATACCGATCTTGCTGACAGATGATCGGCAATTACAAGACACATGCTCTCACTCTTTCCCTTCCCTCTCCTCGTGATTTTTTCACCCTTTCCCCTAGCCTCCTACGCAGGCGTTTTTAGGGGAGCTCGTTTTTCATTCCTCCCTTGTGGGGAGGGATGAAAAACGAGCTCCCCTGCGTGGGAGGCTACCCTTCCCCAAGCAGAGAGCCTCTTCAAAGGCTACTCGCCACACAAAACCGCGATCATTTTTAGGTTAATCATCCAAAATCACCATGTTACCTTGTGCAAACATCGAGACACGACACATACAATCAGTCTAATCCACCGGGATGTCCTAAATGTCTTCCCCTAATGGCTGCATTAACCTGCGAAGGTGACGGGAATTTTGTGCCCAGGGAAGGGATGCTGCTCCTCCGCCAAAAAACTACAGCACTTGTTCGCTAATCGCTCCAGCTACCTAGGCTATGGCAGCATAGTAGCCTAGCCGGGCGGGGAGCCTTGCGTAACTCCTGCCCGAGCTGCTGCGCAGGAGACCAGAACGAGCTCGAAGCGATGATAGAAAGAGGAGGCCAATTTATTCCCTACGGTTTTTATTTCCGGTTGCGCGCTCAACGTATAATTACTTACAGATCGACGAAATCTCCTCAACAAGCGACGAAAGTCGCGAAAAGTGACCCTGCTGAAAAGCCATGCAACTTTGTCTTGTGCATACTTAGCATTACTAGAGAATATAAACAACAAATCTCCGTCGGCGGAGCGGTCCGGAAGGAAATCTTGTCGAGTCAATATGCCAAAAATCAGATGACGCTCGCGCGCGCGCATCATCGGGACACCCACGGATGCGACACTGATACTGTCGTAATTTGTTGTCGGTACTTTGCTGCTTTTTCTTCCAAATACGTGTATCTTCATCGGGTTCGTCCTCCACTGCCCTAGAAGA